GCAGCCCCGGGGCTGGCGCGCAGAGCTCCGCCTGGTACCCGGACCTCAGCATCTCCGCCCGCGCGGCCCCCTCCCAAGTCCGAGACATTTAAAGACCAATCGGATGGCCAGGAAGCCGAGCCATGCCCCCCGCTAGGCGCGGGGGTGGGAGGCCCAGCGAGCCGAGGGGCATCAGACCCGCTGGGGGCGGGGGCCGGGGCGGAGAAGGATGCGAGGGAGGAAGGGTCCGGGGAGGTCCTTCCTGGCGATCCGGAGCGCGCAGAGTGAACGCAAACAAACCCAGGAGGGGCAGCGGGGGCGTTGCGATGCAGCCTGTGTTTTAAACAAACTAAGGAGCGGACAGGATCAGCAAGCAGGAGGCAAAGTTTCAAACATCGAAGTGCTCCTCACCACCCGAGGAAAACTGGCGATGCCCAGACCAAATATTGGACATGTGTGGCCAGGTGAGAGGCCCACTCTGCGAGGTGGAGTGTGTCCAGTGGTGACTCGTTCACGGGACCCCCTCTTGCCCAAAACCTGGTTCCACTGTACACACACACACACACACACACACAGAGGAACTTCAAAAGGTTAGTGGGAAATTCCATTCTCTTTTAATATCCATTTCCCCATGAACTCTTCAAAGCCCCTTCATATAAGTTTGACACGAAAAAAAAAAAAAGTTTGACATGGGATGTTTCTACATATACATTGACTTGTGCTGCAAATGTTTCCATAAATATAATAGAGCGTGGGGGGGAGGGGCGGAACCGTAGGAAAAATGTCTTCGTTGTTGTCAACTGCCACCCAGTCCATTCCGACTCAGACACCTGTGTTGGACAGAACAAAGCACTACCTGGTCCTGCGCCGTCCCCACCATTGTTATTGAGTTAAGCCCATGGATGTAACCACCGAGCCAGTCCTCTTGTCAAAGGTCATCCTGTTTCTCGCTGCCCTTCTACTTTACCAGGAGCCCTGGTGGTGTCTGGACGTTTGTTAGGCTGCCAAGCACAAGGTCAAATTCACTGCCATCGAGTCAATTCCAGTCCACTGGACTCACCAGCCACTGGCCCCTGGGGTGAAAGACCGGCGCTCTGTGCCCTTAAAGAGTGATAGCCTTGGAAACCCACAGGGACAGCTCTGCCTTGTCCTGTAGCATCACTGGGAGCCAGAACTGCCTCCTCGATGGCAGTTTGTTTTTGGGAGGGAAGGGTCCTGAGTAGGTTCGAATATGATGGCTTGAAAGAGCAAGGAAACATCTTCATTATTTAAGGGATGAGGGTTCTCCCCACACTGGTCAGGACTTGCATGATTTAAACATCGCTCCAATGAAAGAGAGAGAGCCCTGATGAAACATACAACTTTCCTCCAGTTCTTTAATGTTTCCTCTCCCCCACCCCCACCCCCACCACCATCATGACCTCAATTCTACCTTACAAATCTGGCTAGACCAGAGCATGTACACGGGTACAAATGAGAGCTGAAAACACAGGGAATCCAGGACAGATAAGCCCCTCAGGACCAATATTGAGAGGAGTGCTACCAGGTGGGTAAGGGGAAGGTGGGGGGAATAGGGGGAACCGATCACAATGCTCTACCTATAACCCCTCCTAGGGGGGTGG